TGTTATAACGAGATCCAGACAAGCATCCTTTCTTGTTGGTGCTTGTACCAGTTGTGACATGAAGTTGTCATTTAACACATTTAAAAACCTGATTCCCCATGCGGAAGTACTAGTCACTCTATCCCAATTTATGTCCAAGTAATTAAAATCTCCAATAATTAACGTGTTACCCAGATTTGCAGCTTTCACAATTTGCTCTAGCAGCTATTCTTCCTCATTAATATTTACATTAGGTGGTTTATAACATATTCCAACCAATAATTGATTTCCCTTTGTTTGCGACAGGCAGATATCTACCAATAAAGCTTCCACATTTTCCTCATCACACTCCACATGCCTAAGATTTGACTTTAACTAATGGTTGACACACAAACATACCTGGCACCCCGACTGGGTACCTCCGTTGAAAGATGCTCCTAGCGCTTCCTGAGGACTCCAAGCACTGCAGCAGACACCACAATCACCAAACCAGAGAAGCATATACCTTCTCTCAAGCATATGAATGCTGTAGACAGTTGAATAGGAACCATATGAATAGGTTTACTCTCCTAGCAGTCAAACTGGAACAGCATACAATAAATCCTTCCCCCAATAATGAGACGACACTTCACTTTGAGGGTTAAAACAGGAACACCCTGTACTGTCACATACAGTCTCTTTTATTCCCAATCCACAAACATAGTACAGCCCACAGGGCATTACAAAACAGCCAATCAATCCATACAATACACCCAGACACTCCCACACAAAATCCTCCCCTCTGGCTGTGATATGATTACTGAACACAATGGGTAATCTAATTATCACAGCCAGAGAAATACAGTTTCATAAAACACATCACAGGGACCCCCAAAACATGCAATAACCCCATAAAAATATATCCTTGGAACTGGGGGATCTGGGTGAACCACATATCCAAAATTCACCCAGATCCGTTCAGTACTTTGGAAAATACAGTTTAATGCAGATTCTGCAGAACATATACAGGCTAAATAAAAACAATCACTGTATAATGTGTCCCCTGCTGTATAGTCCAAAACCACTGCACGATGTCTCTGTGCACCAAATACTGGCGAGATGGCACCGTGTTGAAAAGTCCACACGGTGTCTGTGAGTTAAAATGGCCGCCATCCATTGTTCTCACCATGTGCTTCTGATACAGGAAATGGTGGCCACCCAGTAACTCCACAGTATGTCCCCAGATGGTTCTTAAAAGGGCTAGCAGCAGCACAACACAAATCCATTATGCCCAAATTATGTCTTTAAAGGGCAATACATCCCAGGAGCCATAGTCACATGGCAGGAGGCTGGCAATCAGTCTTCTCCAATGCCCAGTGGCGAGGTCGGTTTCGCCACACCACCCTTCTTGTTTTTCCTATCCTTCCTAAATAATGTGTACCCATTTAAGTTAACTGTCCAGTCATGTGTCTCATTCCACCATGTTTCTGTTATGCCTATTATATCATATTGTTTAGTGTATGCTATTGACTCTAGTTCCCCACTTTTGTTATATAGGCTCTTGCATTAGTAAGCTTAAAGAATTAAGTAGCAGAGATAGCATGGGCATAATCTATACACCAAAACCACTGCATTAAGCTAAGTTGTTTTAATACTTACAGTGTCCCTTTAAGTAACCCCCTCCCCCAAAGATTGTACAACAAAGAAATTCTCTAAATACACAGAAAGTGTTCCTACATGTGACGGTAGTCACCATTACTGGGGGCTGAAGATGGACACTTTATGTAGGTCCCCAGATTACTCCTATGTTTTAGTCACCCTATGGCCATTAAAGGGACAGGGTGTGTAATGTATTTGTTTGTTAGTTTTTTTCCTTCCCTTCTTTCCTTGTTGTTTTCCCAGAAGAGTGTTGTTCCAGAGACCCCTTTCGTCTGCTGTATAGTATAGCATGTGTTTTTAGGAATTCTTTTGTACTATGGGAGATAGTTTTGTTAGTGTGTCTGTGTTTATAAAAGGTAAAACAAAACGGAAGATGATTAGTTTTATAATATAATAGCTATTATGCAAAGGATCTTCCAATGGATACCTGTGTTGTGTACAATCAAATCGGTTCAACTTCACCCTTCACTAAGTCTCGACCAGTGCTTGTGTGAGACAGTTATACAGCTATACACTCTACAGGATGACACAGGGAAGGGGGGGTTTAGGATATGTTTGTTTGTAATATGTATTGATACATTTCAATTGTATTTATTGCGGTCCCTGAGGAAGTTCATTTAGAACGAAACGCGTAGGACTTTTTTTCCTGCTCTTCATATCCTATGCTGATTGGTGACTGCTTACTTTTTTATTTAATACATTTACCCTGACCTGAGGAAGTCCTGTGGTGGAATAATTACCTGGAGGTGATCAGAGAGATCTGTTGGCCCTCCATTACACCGGGTGAGGCACCTTGAGAATGCTTACACTTATCTACATCTAGTGAGTGCAAATTTTGTTGCGCATAACGAAATTGTGTTGTTACAATATCACACTATGTTTTATTTTATATCTTTCCAGTAGATTTACACAGCGATATCCCGAACTGTTTGTTGTGGTTTTCTATATATGATATAGGTCGCTTCTGGGTCACGACCTAGGGAGGCTGTTATTCGTGATCAAAAGTTAAGTACTATTCATTGTAAAATATTTTACTATTTGTGTTTTTCACCTTTTGGTGATACATTTCTTGGTAATCTGTTTGTACCCAGTTTCTTGTTTTGAGCACACATACCTGTGATTCTGATAATATGGCCACAAACGTGAATTATTTATCTAATTTACAATTTAATCGAAGAAAGAAGTTTGAGGCCATGTTTAAGGAATGGGATAAACCCCAACCCTTTAAGGGATTGGACGAATTGTTTTGAAAAAAAGAAAAATTACTCTCTGCTGAAACAAAAAAATGGTGGGAGGTAGCATATCTAGAAAACTACCTGAAAGAAGGCCTGATACCACGTGGCCTTAGAATTGATAAAATACCTGCATTTGGATTAGAGGATGATTTATTTTTGGAAGAATGGAATGCCATCCTTTCTAATTGTTCCTTTCAGCTAATCCAGTTAATTATTAGTTACTCCAAGAAAATACAGAGTGAATTGGAAGCTGAATTAAATGACCTTGATATTAATCCCACTATTGATGTCAACAGTGGGGAGTACAAAGAGAGAGAGGAGTCTTTACA